ACTTGGTCGAGCTTCTTCTCGATGTGTGGGTGTGCTTTTTAATATTATAATGAAAGCAGTTAACTTCAGGTCACCTTAAAAGTAACTTTTGTTGCCAAGTTGGCCCAATAGATTTCTACCTTGCTAGGCTGTCACATAACTCATCCTATAAGCAGTAGACCCTAGGTGCTTCTGTTATGCTCTAGAGAATAAGGACTAAGGCTATCATGTCACAGAGAATGGGGACTTCAAGCTACACAGCTCCCAATTTCTATGCTAACACAGCACCTCGTGCTAACAGAGGCTTACTTGTTGAATCAAGATGTTCTTATAGATAATTGCTTCATAAACACAAAATATAGAGAGATTTAGTAGAACTTAAAATAATCTGCAACAGCCAGAAAACTCACAGCACCTCATTGTTCACTCACCTTGGAAGGCAGAAAGACGGCGCTCCTCCAAAGGATTTTTATGCAGAGGATCTCCAAGATTTCTTCATCTTCCTTTACTATTTGTGTATGTAAGTGATTTTCAGGATCCTATCAGCTTTTACACATTAATTTACAACAGACTAAAGATTCACATTCCTTCCCCCCCCCCCCCATTTCATATATATCCAACTTCCCCACTGGTTGCACTGCTATAGGAAAGAGCAAATGGGAACAGGTATTTTTAAGCTGGCTACTGCCAATAAAGGCCTACTGAACTGTATGGTCAAGGTGTCTGCCAAAGGCATCCCATTTCTGTTACAAGTTTTTGGAGTCCGCAAATCAATAAAATGGTCATGGTGAGGAAATCACTAAATAGACCAATAATTAAGATAAAAGCTGTTCAAAATTGACTGATCTAAATTTTAGAGTAATCTGACATGTGGATTAATTTTGTTTAGCACTACTGTGCTCAAATGCGCAACAGCCACTTTCCAGCTCTTGCATTCCTATTTCCTTTTCAAGTAGATACTTGACACAAACTTTGGGCTTGTAAAGACCCAGTAAGGCCATTTGAATTGTAATTCTTGTGTTACTCGGGACATTGTCCATTAAATAACTTACAAAGGATTCTTGGTGTTGGGTAAGTTCTCTGGGATCACCTCAAACATCCTAACAACCAACCTTTGAAAATCAGTTAATTAGGCTCAGAGCAGATTACTATGGGGAAGAGCCCAGTAATTTTGGCACAGGAAAAATCTACAACCATGAGGTAATTGAGCACCATAAGAACTGCAAAGCTGGTTTCAACTTACAGATGAAACCATGAATATGTATCTGTCAGCTGCTGGTAAATGACTCATGGGAATATAGTCAAGACACATTTGCATTTAAGTCACTGCACCTGGAAAACATTTTTGAGGAAAACTTATGGAAACACTACACACACATTAGGTAGAAAATTAAGCACTCAAATTTTGCATTTTCAAGACAAACAGTTTGAAGACAGTAGACTTAATTCCTCAAAAATTATTTTGCATCATAAAGCAAAAGAATCAAGTTCTAGGAGTTGGCAGAATAAATAATGGCTACTTTTTTCACTTTAACAGGAAGTAAATGTTCTTTTTTGTTATAGGCCCTAAACAGATAAATATACTCCTTTCTTGAATAAGTACATGCTTTGTAACCTCCTATAGCTTTTACTCTTCAGGAAATAAAGTTGGAGTCACACATTCAGTTTTAACATCTATCGTGAGCTTTAACATCCATCAAGATGCCATAGAATCATAGAACAGCTCAGGTTGGAAAGGATCATCTAGTTCCAACCCCCCTGCCATAGGCAGGGACACCTCACCCTAGACCATGTCACCCGAGGCTCTGCCCAACTTGGCCTTGAACACTGCCAGGGATGGTGCATTTACCACTTCTTTGGGGCTGGCTGCTTTTATTTGCAATACATTTTCAAGATGACACTGCTTTCCAACCAATTGCTCACATAATATTTAGGATGCATTCATGATGACTCCAGATGCAAAATGGGAAAGGTCCATGTTGAAAGTACATTAAAAAGTTGCCACTAGCCATTGGACTACTATTTTCTAAAGATTAAGTTCTAGGAAAACAAGTTTATTATAAATATTTAAAAACATGAGCTGTAAGTTCCAAGGAAGCTGCACAGAACATGGAGATTAGAAAACAGGATCACATCACATCTTACAAACAGGAAGATTTCCATACATTTCAGTTTCTTTTCTGCCACAAGGTAGAAGACTGAGAATTAAAAAAAATAGTAATACACATCTTTTAACTATAAACACCCTTTGAACTGTTTTTTAAGTAAACCCCCCAAACAAACAAATAAAAAAAATCTTTAACAAATCAAGCTAATGTCAAATGGAAGATACATAAACATTTCAGCTTATTTATGTATTTCAGATGATCTTTGGTAGACTACCAGCAGCAAGGCTGCAAAGGTAGCCTGCTCTTTCCACATACAGTGCTGTGAAGGAAAAAAATAGGGTAAGCATCAAGAATGGTGATAAACTGCAGTAGTTAAACATTTATTTTTCATATATTCACAAAATCTTCACAGAAGTATTGAAACTCAAAAAGGAATTAGACTTGAGTCGAATACAGAGATGAAATCTACAAGACAAATGAGCAGGCAAACTAAAAGGTCTTGAAAGTATTTTACTTCAAATTGAAAAATGAACAGTTCAACTGTTCTGTTTAAATAAAGATTTGCAAGATATACAGTATTTTATTAATACAATGCTGGTCACTTGAGGAAATGTAAAATACAATTTTTCCTTCATATTTTTTTTCTTTTAGAAAGATACTGTTTACCAAAAAGAAACTTGAGCAGTTCAGGAAAAGCTATTTTCCATTAAATTTATGAAAACCATAAACTGAGGCAAAGCTAAGATTCTCAATGGAATCAAGATTATCTTCCCACTACCACCACCTTAAAATTATTACATGCTTATTGGAACACTAATATCTGCACCCTAAGAGTACATTTGCTTTCAACAATGAGGGCGATTCTTTTAAAAACACTTCAGTGTGGGAAATGCAATACAGATCTTTGCAAGTATTAAGTTTTAGAACAGTTTTGCTAATAGCAGCTAACAATACTGGATTAATATAATTTATAAATAATTTTTCCCTAAGCAGTGAATAGAAGTCTACACATTCACAAGAATCTAAAACAATACTGTGATTATGCATAATGTGGTACAACTTTTACTAGTTTCTATAAACAAAAGCTGAGCATCTTGTTGATAAAATTATATGATCAAATTAAAATATGAATCAAAATTTTTTTAAAAGAACACCAAACCATTGTCAAATTAATGTCACTTATAAGCTTAGTGTTTGACTAAATGTTATGATTTTCCATTTTTTTTGAATACATATATTTTCCTTTTTGAAGTAAACCACTTTAGCACATTGAAAATGTTTATTAAGTGATGACATCAGTTCTGGTCTTATTTTAGCATTATTTTATTTTAAAAATCACTGCACTCATTAGTGCCCATTAAGGGTCATGTTGGCCTGTAGTATTCTGTAAATGCATAATATAAAACATTTCTAAAAGCTCATAGTACTTTTTATAAAAGCATCATCTCCAGAACAGCTGCATTAAATACAGCCATGTATGCTGAGTGCACACCTTCCTCTTTAAAGAAGTATGTGAAAGTAAATGCCACTTTCCTCTACTGAAGTGTCCCAACTCCTGTGCCAAGCTATCTATGCCTGTGTGTGAGGGCAATTACACACTTCATTCACATTCATGGCATCAGTTACTGCAACCTAGACTTGTAATGCAACTGAACTGGACAAATGCAGAGCTGAAATTAAATGATAACTAGCTCAACAAGAAATACTATGAGATACAAAAGGTTTGGGTCTTTAAGGCAGTACAAAATATATTTTATTATTTGAAGTAGGTTTTTTTTTAAATAATTAAGTGTAAATATGAAAATGCCTCAGAAGGGAGTGAGAAAAAATACTTTAATTGTAAAATTTACTTAACGTTTCAACAGTTATCTCCTACAGGAGTTAGCAAAAATACAAAACACAAAAAGCCCCATACCTGGAAGGGGGAGTGGAAGGCACAAAGAGGAACGGGATTAAAGCAGCCCAGGAATGCAAATGTCTAACAAATCTAGTTGTCCTTTGTGGGTTTTTTTAAACAAACAAACAAGAATAAAACAATCACCACCACCAACCAAACAGCACCACCACCCCCCCAAGTGGCTTTATATTTCTTTAAAAAAAGAGAGAGGGTTGGGGAGAGACCACTAAGGGGCGGAAAAGAAGGATGCAACTATAAAACCCCATTGCCTGATATCATAGAATAGTTAGGGTTGGAAAGGACCTTAAGATCACCTAGTTCCAACCCCCCACTGCCATAGGTAGGGACACCACACACTAAACCATGTCATCCAAGACTCCATCCAAATGATGTCATTCTAGAAAACAAGGTGAAGGTTACTTCTCCAAGATGACAAACTCAGTGTCTTCACAAAGTACATGTACACTTCATTTGTCACCATAAGCCTTTCTTGCAGAGGAACAGCTTTTGCAGATCAAATGTTCTATTAAATGGTTTAAATGCCAAGAAAAGAAATTCTGAGCAATATAACAAGTAATGTCTCTTTATATGAATGTTAAGATAACAATTCAGATTATTTTCCAAACTAATCCTGAGAAAAATTTATGTTTACAATTTAAACAGTAATGCTATATAAAAAGTATTAACAAATCCACTATTACAAATGTCAGTTTTCCTATATGGTTATGTATACCTACACAATAAAATGGTAAGCATATGCAAAAATAATAAGAAAATCATGCACAAATTACTTTCACCTTTAAAGGATGGGTTTCACTCAAAATACAACTTTTTGCCTTTTTTCCCCCCTATTTTGTGTGTTTTATTTGTTTGTTACCAACCCCTAGACACACTGAGTACTACCTCTACAGGTCAGCATGAGCTGGTGGGAAATATATTTATTTTACATTGAAGCATTTATATCTTAAATGACCCTGTTTTAGCATATGACTTATTAAATGAGTAGCCTTTTCCTCTTTGTTGTTTTTATATTTTTCTTTTTTTTTTCTTTTTAGCATTTTTTGCAGTGATCAGTCTTCATGATCTGTTCTCTGGTGAGCTGGGAAAAAAAATTGCAGTTGCTAATCAGCAACAGTCTGAAGCTCTGGAAGAGATCCAAGGAGTCACTATCAAACTATCCTGTAGCATGAGATCATTGCACACAGAAAGGCAGTCATAAAATAGGCAACTATCTACAAAGGTCTGAAAGGGCTGCATCCCTCTTGTGCTTCCTCTTTTTGCCATGGAAGAAGTGATGGTGTGATTTGCTGCCTTGATGTTTGTTTGTGACTGAGGTACTGTGGCTTGAGTTTATTGGACCTTGGAAGCCTTTGTTAGAAGAGCAAAATAACCATGCAGATCCATGCTGTGAAATAAGGAGAACATGGTAAATCAGCGCTAAAAGGAAAAAAAGTGTGGCAACTACACAACCCTATTTCTGGATAATGAGGACGTTAACTCATGAAAGCATTACACTTGAAACAACTGATACAGCAACAGAAGCCAGGACAGCACAGTACCACAAATCTTTCACTTTGGTGGTTGCAAACAAATGCTCATCTCTAGACCCAAATCCATGCAGGTCAAGAAAGAAGAGCAGAGCATTTTGAATTTTGGAAAGGATCGAACTGTTCTGTTGCTCCGATTTTGCAATGATCAAAAAATGGTTTACAGAAGCAGACCACCACAATCCAAGACAACAGATGAAGACTAATCAAATCTCATCTTCTGTGCAAAATTATGACAAGATTCTTTTAAGGCCAGGACTAATTTTATACCACATCTTTTTACAGATGTAGAGTATCTCAGATCGTGCATTTGCACATTCCAGCACCAGAATTAGCTCTGTGTAGTAACACAAACACACATTCATGGTATATCCAAGGCCTAGCTTGTAAACTCAGTACTAGCTAGAGAGAGACTGTCAGCAAGTAGGAGGAAAGTCTCCAGCACTACTTTTCAGGAGTAATATTCCAGAAGATTCCAGACTATTTTCCATATATTAAAGAAGTCTTAAATTCTGAAAAATTATAAAAATGTAAACTGCATGTATCCAAAGTATATTCTATATAGAGGCATATAGTATTTCCAGATCACTGATTTGTCATAGAAGCATTCCTCAAAATGAGAAATCCCTTAAATGCATGAGCTCTGGTAGGCCTCATCATAAAGATATTTGTATTTAGGGGGAAAAAAGAGGGAATTTTATATATCAGCAAGCAATCTTCATTGCCCTTAATGAAAGACAGTTCAGCAAGTACTAACAGCTATCAGCTGCCAGTCATGTTTGAAACATACAATTTTACTAACTGTCTTTCACTAAGTGTAGGCATGTCTCTTTAGTTCTCAAATTCTGCTGTCACGACTGGACTGATATGCTTTCTATACAAAGGAAATGGGTGCAGCACATCTGTATGCTTCTGGCAACTTTAGGTTTCCCAAAATAAAGTCAATCTTATTTCATCTAGTTTAAGGCTGGGAAAGCCCCTGCTGCAAAGTCCTCTGTGTAAACTAAACAGTTTATACTTTTAATCTTTTTAGTGGAATGAAGGGAAGGTCAAAAACAGTGTTTCCTTTCCAGAACAAGCTACTCTTCCATGAAGGACATGCAATATTTAAATGATCTATACAGCTGTTGTCTCCAAACATTTCACAAACCTGAGATTTGTTCATGTTGCTGGAAGTATTGGCTGTTTGGCTATTTTGTGTTTTCCCACTTGACTGGGAAGATTCCAGTGACACTTCTTGTGACCCCACTCTGGTTTTGGTAGACTGACGACAACTCAACTGTTTAGAGGTTTTGCACGGTGTTCCATCAGAATCCTTCAGGAAAATGTAAAGTATTAGTGAGTGTTTCTATTAGTGAGTTTTCCAATAAAGCTAGCAGTAGACAAAAATTCAAATGTGTTTATTTTATTAGATACTAAAATTCTTTCAATCTTACTGAGTAAAACAGATTTAAAAATGTATTGATGCATGATTCTGATTTTGGGATTTAGCTTTTGGTTTTAAATAAAATTCCCAAACATTGTTTAAGGCTTTTTTTTTTTTAAACACAGTTTTCTCAGAGAAAAAGAGGGCTATGTAACTCTATCTGCTGCATTCACTTTATACATGTGTTGTGTCAAAAACACACTGCAACTTACATGTGTAGAAATTGCATAAGAGGTAACATCTTATGCAAGTTAGGATTCTGGATGAAATAACTAACTAGGATTCCAAGCTTTCAAAATGTATTCTGTGGAAGTAAAGATCAGGAAAAAAAAACAACCACCCACCCCCTCCCCCCCCCCAAAAAAAAAAACACCAAAAAGACCCCACAAAACAAAACAAAAAAATCAGAAAACCACCAGTACTTACTACATCACTACAGCTGGACAGTGTAGAGGATGATGATGAAGGACCTGATGAAGAATTTGAAGAATGTTTACTAAGTATTTCTGAAGTTTTATTTCTAGGTTTTGATAGTGCTTCATCCTCTTCAGCAAGATTATTGTTGCATTTGTCTAGCTGCTGAGTATCTACTATCAAGGTTACTCCATTACCTATTAAAAAGCAAAATGGAAGCATCACCACACAGTAACTACTAAAATATGTTGCTTTTTTTTAATATATCCCCTCAGGTATTATATATCTATTATATCCAGCAGGACATGTAGAGACATCTGCACATGTACATACTTTTAATACATGCAGACATGTTTTGTATGCATGTACTGCCTGCAGCAAGCCAACAACTCACAGATGGTGCAGTGGTTTCCCAAGAAGATCCATTAACATAAACTGTGGAAACCACCAAGCATTACCAACAGTTCAAGCTGGAAATTAGAGAGATAAAGAGATGGAAGAAGGTAGTAACAAAGTTCAGATGTGCTGCGTGATGAGACTGATTCATGACACACTTCAACAGCACTCAGTTAGGTTTAAATTCCTTTCCTATGTGCCCAGTACTCAGCAGCTCCCATTTTTCTTCTACTGGAGCTGCTAAGTGTCATAAGAACTTCAAATAAGCCTGGTTGCTTATTTGAAGCAACCCTACACTGAAAATACGAGATACAGAACTCTCATATCTCACTAACTTCTACCTTAAGTATAAAAAGGAAAAATCAGAACTTAAATCTAAAATAAACCTACAAGACAACTACTGTAACTGCCACCATTATCTTCCTGATACAGGGTTATTTTATTACTGTTTTATCTTACGTAAGACTCCCAGGAGTTACCTCTGATTTACACAGCATACACTTGCTGCCTCACTAGCTGTGTTTGCATACGGAGGTTAATACATAGATCACATCAGGTAGCCAAGTGTTACTCTGGAGCTTGTGGGACTGAACAGTGGTTGTCTGCCATGACCAGGTTGTACAGCAGTGCCACAAGGGTCTGCAGACTGATAAAACACAAATGGTCCAGGAGCACATTCAATTTACAAGGACAGTGAGGGAAATCACTAACAAAAGCTTTAAAAAAATAAACAAAATCCCATCCTAGCCTAAAGACTTGGTAGTTGTGTCATCATCTCTCCTTAACCCCGAACAAAAGAAGACTTCTAGAAGGCAACCTTCTAAAATTAACTGGAGGTGTTAGAATTCATTTTACTTTTAAAACTTCCAGACAGCAGATACACCTACACCAAAAGAGGCTGGCGACTGGCTGGTGAAGTCAGAAGATGGGCAATGAAAACAAATAATATATGCTGGCCACATCTACTGCAGTAGAATAAAGATAGACATGGTATGGCCTTTTTACTCTTATACAAATCTACATCTTCTGGATAAGAACAATAGGAAAAGCAAAAAAGTGAATTCATATTAAAATGCATGCATTGCCTCATGTGAGGCAAAAGCAACAGCAAAATCTGATCAAAACATGCAGGAAGCTTCCCACTATCAGCCATGCTTAGTCAAAACTTACCGTTACATGAAGACTCCGCCCTACTTTGCATTCCCCACTGCTTTGATATCCACTCTCTGTATGCGGCCACCTCTTGTGTTACTCTAATTATTCTACCTAATATACTGTAAAAGAGGGAAAAGAATAAAAAAAAAACATGATTAATTTTTAGACACACAAAAATATAAGCAAGTTCTATCTGAGATTTAGACTCATAAAATTTACCTTTCCATTTCGTTGTTAGGGTAATATTTAGCTATTGGGGAAACTGCATGGCTCAAAACAACATAGGCATAATCAAAAGCCTGTTTCACTTGCATGGCACCATAGGAACTCCTCCCAACATCATTACCTTAAAGTAAGAATACAATTAAATAAATAAATAAGATTGAAACTGTAGTTATCTCCTTTCAGACAAGAGACAGTGATATTTTTTAAAAATTACCCTTACGTCCCAACTCACTGCAGTTACCTCTTGTAGAATAGGACTACTGGAGCATAGATATTCAAAAGAGCTTTTTTTTAATATAGATATTTATATGCACAGAGGTTCAAAACAGCAATTCTCTGGGTAAAAGCGCAATACATGAATCAAAAAATAAGAAAACATAAAATCCTGCACTGCTTATATCACACATGTAACAGGACTGTCCTGGATAACATTTTTCTAGATCAGAAATACATTAACTCTTTCAGCAGCACTTGACTCGCCATTCCAGAAGCCACCCCACTGAAGCCAACAGTCAACCTTAACATAAAGGTAATAGTACAGAATGAAGCCACTATGGATTTATGTAGCACTTACATGTAGCACTTATGTAGCACAGGCACACTCTGGGCTGACATGGTAATTTACTAAGAACGTGTCTTAAAGAACACTGTTGTGTTCTGAGTGCATCTTGTGTTCAAAGACACGAATGAGGTGTTTCTGTTTGGGTTTTGGTGGTCATTCTACTATTCTACTATCCTGAGATTTAACTCCTCTAGATTAAGCATTCCCATAATTTTTGTATGTTAAGTGTTGGTTTATGAGGATACCTGGCTGTAATGGATCTTCAATATACAGCATTGATGGTCTGTAGCCATCCAGCATGCTTTTTTGCACTTCATCTTTGGCAACGTAAGAGCCACCATCCTTTATTCGGATTCCAGTCTTCAGATAATTGAAGTGACGTCCATATAATTCAAAAAACTCTATTAAAAGAACACCATAGTTGGCATTGGTCATACAGGCATCTTCCCTGGGATGTAGCTATTGAGAAGAGAGAAAAAAAAATAATAATTTTCTTAAGACTTCAAGTTTCAAGTACCTTTAAGTGCCTTTGCTTTTTCACAGCAAGCATGTCTAAATACAATTAAAAATAATAAACCAGAATATATAAAGCAAACTTGTCTAAATATATTTTCCTTGATAAAGAAGTTTTAAATCTTTAAAACAAGATGCTATAAAAACTTTTATAAACTAATACCTCTTAAAAATAAGGCTATCAAGTATTAATGTTTCTGTATTTGAACTTTCAGTTCAGTAAGTGACCTTCCAGCACTAATGGTGCATAAATATATATCCACACTTCACAAACCTGGGTTTGGAATACAAATACAGGCTTCTAACATTCACAGCTATGTAAATGATCCCCTATGCTTTTAAGATGCAACCTGAGAGATGATGAACAAAACCAGTTCATAATTTAAACAGATACAAAACCTAACTGCTTCTTCTGCAGAGCAAATGGAGATGCTATTAGTCAATATAAGAAAAATTGGGGTTGGAAGAGACTGAGATTTTAGTTTCTTTCAAAAAGATATGCCTGTTGTCTTCATTTCTTTTGTGCTCAGCAAGCAACTGCACTAGCACTCAGCAAACACCAAGCTCCAGCTCAAGGTTCAGGTTTAAAAGTAACTACAGTCTGAAAAGTACAGACATACAAATGCACACGCAGTTACACAATGACATTTGGTACAAGAAAATAAATGAATCTGATAAAGCCAAAACCTGGCTACTGCATATTTCTACAATATTTTTCTCCCCCAGGCACAACAATATAAATTTAGTTCATGCATTTTGTTCTCTTAGATTTAAGAGAAAGTTGTAAAATGTGTTTGATTTCAGCTTAAAACCCTAGACAAAATAGTAAAATTCCACTGCATTCATTAAAGCACATCCAGGGTGTCAGACCTGGAAAATAAGTCTTATAAAGGACAGCTGCATCTAACTAGCTTGCTCCAAATAAACCATACAATAGTCAAGTTATTTTACCATGAATGACACTTGTGCCTGGTACCGATACACTAACAGATGTTCCAAACACCTCTAATACCGAAAGTGCCAGTATCAGAAAAAGAACAGAAGACAGGTGGGATGTTGTCTGTTTTTAAATGAAAAGAGGGTGCAAAACCACAAACAGGAGCACTTAGATGACTAAATTTAAGGACTGATCAAATTCTTTCTTAATATAACATCCTTTTTCACCAATGGCATCAATAGATTTCATTAAGCTTACCTGAAGGAAGCTGACAGCCATTAAAAAAAGACTGTAAGAACCGATTCCACCTGTAAATACTTCATTAAGGTCCCTCTGTAACAGGAACTGTTTCAATACTAAAACTAGATATGGTAACACGGGGTATTTCTGAAAGAGAAAAGCAAAGGTGTTAGGACACTGTGATGCATACCTACAGCTGATACTAAGAAAGCACGCTAAAGCAATCTATCTGTTATATTACATCTCAAAGCTAAGTATAATTCTAATTTATTACTTTTAATACCAGGGGAGAAGCTAACTGTTCTGCCTGTGGTCAATACAGGTATTTTACCTCTTCAACTCCAGTGGCAGATATTAAAAATAGAAAAAAAAGTTACTACCTCATAAAATCAGAATTATTTTGTTTGAATACATAAATATATTTGATTTTCTCATACAAGTGAAAAGGAAGAACTGTGGAGATATCCATGTCTGTAACAAAACCTTCCTGCCGCAACCAAGCTGATATCCCACAGCGGGCTGAAAATTATGTCTTGAAAATTCTTCAGATGCCCAGAGTTGAAAACAGTTCTTCAATATTACTACACCCAGATAACACTTTTGAAGAAGCCAAATACTTACTTTTGGGTACCTGGTCCTTCAATAGATTTGTCAGCATGGATTTCCTTAGAAGTGTACATACACTGCACGTGCAGAGAACACGAATCTTTTGGACAGCAGTGGAGGCTGGGGCTACGCCTGCACTCTGAACACCCCTTCACAGGGCAGGGGGCAAAAGAGGCTCAATAACATCAATACAGAACCAAGGCCCTTACTTTCAGAAACGTGGATCATGGTATCTATGATTGCAAAATATTAAAGGGAAATTGAGAATTTTTCCAAGAACTTCTCTGCACAAGTCTTAGTGTATCAGGAGCCCTATTTAACCTAAGATCCCAAGATCACTTTTTTGAACTATTAAGAACTTAAGAGTTACAAGGTAGAGTGTTGACTATCTGTCTATACCAAAATTCAAAGATGGGATTTTTCTCAGGAAACTGCAAATCCTTAATTAAGGCATCAGCTGCCTCAAACTTCCAAATAAATTGAATTAACAGAAATAGGCATTTTCCAAGGATAATAATGAGCATGACACCCCCATTAGGTAATTCAAAGTTATGTGGGTCAAAATAAGACCCAAGACAATGCCCTGCAAGTGTTTCATAGAAAGATCCTCAAGAACACCATTACCAGTGTGTGCCAGGGCTGAGTGCCACCTCTGCCTGCCACACCAGGCTCGGCCACCTGCACTCAAGGCCAGCACTGGTGTGGCACAGCTGCACAGCCTTGGCTTGGGCTGCTGGGAAAACAGCCCTGTGGGAAAGCGCCATGTGGGAAGGCTTGTGGGGAATCCCTCCACCTCTCTCAAGAGCTGCTTTCATCTCCATTGCTCCCCTGGTGTCTGCCTGAGCCACGCTGCTGTCCAATGATGTTGATCCTGACACTAACAACTGACACAGCATCCTCAGCCTCAACCTCCTCACAGGGAAACGGTCTTCCAGCTGCTGGATGGCCTGTAAGCTGACGCCGACTACTGTCACCAGACCTGCTCTGAGCCTCAGGTCGGAGTCCCATGGGTCTGCACCCCCACCCCATGCCTGCCTGGCTGCCACACACAACTCCCACTACCACCTTAGGAGAACAGCCTGCTCTCACCATGCCCTGACCCAAGGCCAAAGGGTTCAGCTAAAGCAGTCAATTTTCTCCATCTTAGTAGCTGGTGCAGTGCTGTGGTTTTGACTTTCAGCCTGTGAACAATGCTGACAAAATTGATGTTTTCAGTTGTTGCTAAGTAATGCTTACTCCAATCAAGGATTATCTCAGTCTCATGCTCTGCCGGGGAGGAGGGGAAGCCAGGAGGAAGCAGACAGGGGACACCTGATCCAAACTAGGAAAAGGGGTATTCCATACCAACGCATGTCATGCCCAGTATATAAACTGGGGGAAGATACCCAGAAGGCCCAGATCGTGGCTTGGGTCAGGCTGGGCATTGGTTGGAAGGTGGTGAGCAATTGTGTTCCCTTCCTTTGTAATTTCCCTTATCATTATTACTATCGGTGGTACCAGTAGTGGTTTTGTGTTATACCTTAGTTATTGGACTGCTCTTATCTCAACCTGTGGGAGTTACATTCTTTTGATTCTCCTCCCCATCCCCCTCAAGGAGCGGGAGGAGGAATGGGGGGGAGTGAGTGAGCGGCTGTGTGTTTCAGAGTTATTAGCCGTGCATAAACCATGACACTCTCCAAGCGGTTACAGATAACCTAAGCAACAGGTGCATGCTAACGCGCTTTTTTTTCTAAGCACACAAAAATGGTGTCAGGCTCTCAATAGAAGACTACCTCCTATCCCAAAATTAGAATCAGAGAATCATAGAACGGTTAGGGTTGGAAAGGACCTTAAGATCATCAAGTTCCAACCCCCCTGCCATGGGCAGGGACACTTCACACTAAACCATATCACCCAAAGCCTCGTCCAACCTGGTCTTGAATACTGCCAGGGATGGAGCATTCACAACCTCCATGGGCAACCTATTCCAGTGCCTCACCACCTTCACAGTAAAGAACTTCTTCCTTATATCTAACTTAACTTCCCCTGCTTTAGTTTAAACCCATTTCCCCTTGTCCTATTGCTACAGTCCCTGATGAGGAGTCACTCTCCAGCATCCCTATAGGCCGCCTTCAGATACTGGAAGGCTGCTATGAGGTCTCCACGCAGCCTTCTCTCCTCCAGGATGAACAGCCCCAACTTTCTCAGCCTGTCTTCGTACGGGAGGTGCTCCTGCCCCCTGATCATCCTCGTGGCCCTCCTCTGGACTTGTTCCAACAGTTCCGTGTCCTTCTTATGTTGAGGACACCAGAACTGCACACAATACTCCAAGCGGGGTCTCACGAGAGTAGAAGAGAGGGGCAGGATCACCTCCTTCGACCTGCTGGTCACGCTCCTTCTGATGCAGCCCAGGATATGGTTGGCTTTCTGGGCTGCAAGCACACAGTGAATCCGGCTCATGTTCGTTTTCTCATCAACCAACACCCCCAAGTCCTTCTCCACAGGGCTGCTCTGAATCTCTTCTCTGCCCAACCTGTAGCTCTGTCTGGGACTGCCCTGATGCAGGTCTAGGACCTTGCACTTGTCATGGTTAAACTTCATAAGGTTGTGTCCTGGGTTCAGCAGGAGCAGTCATTCTTTTTCTCCTTCTTAGTAGCTGGTGCGGTGCTGTGTTTTTTGACTTTCAGCCTGGGAACAGCGCTGATAACACCAATCTTTTTAGTTACTTCTCAAATGTTTAGTCTGACCAAGGACTTTGTGAGTCTCATGCTCTGTCAGGGAGGAGGGGAAGCTGGGAGCAAGCTGAGACAGGACAACTGACCCAAACGAGCCAAAGAGGTATTCCATACCACAGCACGTCATGCCCAGGATGTAAATGGGAGTTACCCGGAAGGTAACTGCTCAGTCAGGCTGGGCTTCCATGAGTGGTATTGTATTCTCTTCCCTTGTTATTTTCCTTATCATTATTATTAATGGTGGTAGCAGTAG